TAAGGAAAAATACGTATTTTACTAATTATAATTAGTAAAAAATTTAAGCGTTGCATTATTTTTGATTGCCACTGTAAATAAAATTTTTATATAATTTTATTAAGAATTAATTTTTATTTTTATATTAAAATAAAGTTTATAAATTATAATTTAATATATTTTTTTAGATTTTTTAGATTTTTTTCTAAAAGAATTATTTTAATTAAAAAATTAATAAAAATTTTTTTCTAATTAATTTTTATTTTAAATTTTTTATATTAATATTATAATTAAAATAATTCTTTTAAAAAAAATATATGTTAAATTATAACTTATAAATTTTATTTTAATATAAAAATAAAAAGTATTTCTTAATAAAATTATAAAGTTTAATATAAAAAAATTTAATGTTTATTATATTTTATTAATAAAATTGATATTTAATTTTATAATTATAAGTAATACTATATAGTGATAATTAAAAATAATATAATACTTAAAATTTTTTACTAATTATAATTAGTAAAATACATAATTTTTCTTATTATAAGTAAAATAAATATTAAACCGTCAGGAGAAGATGGAGTAATTGGACATATATGTATGTATCATAAATACGCATTTCAACATAAATTATTGCCAAATGTAGCATTTTGATTATTTTAATAAAAGAATATTAAATTAATATATTTGGTTCTTTTCAAAAGAATATATATTATATATTTTATCCAATTTACAAAAAGTATGTAGGGGGGCAGAGTATTCATTATTCCTATACTATTTGACTGAGCGATAGCGAAGTCAAATACTTATAAAACTTGTTAAATTTCATTAAGTATTTTTATTGAACCAATAATAAATGATTAATCACGGGTGAATATAATCTAATCATCGTTCAACCCGTGCTGAAGTAAATAACCAATCATATTTTTACACAGCCACATGCACATTCATCAATCCAGATTGATTCTATATCCTGATCCATATGGATCGATCAGTATTCATTCTCAACCAATTGATCTCTTTGCATAACTGGAATCGAATTTAAATCAGGTGAATGTCACCTGTAAATCACAAGTTGATCTACAAAAAAGTCACATACGAAAAAGTGAATAATCAGCGACTCTTAATATTACTAGAGTCGCTGTGACTTGGTGACTTTTCCTTCCACTACCAAGATCTGCAGGTGTTACATCAAAAAGTATATAAACAGGTGGTTTCTGGTGGGATTTTCACTACCAGAAATTATTGTAAAATGTCTTCACGTAGTTCATCTCGGCGTAATTCTGATGTATCGTTTATTAATATTTCTTCTTTAGGGATTAATTCTTTGAATGAATGTGTAATAGATGTTGTTTATTTTCAATTAGATAATAATCAATAAATTTTGTAAATTGGATAAAATATATAATAGCTTATGTTCTTTTAAAAGAACCAAATATATTAATTCAATATTCTTTTACGAAAAGAATCAAAATTTATTAACGAAAAATATTAAAATTTATTAATTAAACTTCCATTTCAGAAGAACCACGTAAATTCAGTGTTTCTATACTACTACTGGGCACACTTGAATCATTTACATTATATAAATCTTCAGCTAAATCTAATCTAACCTTCAAACGATTTAATCTATCTAATACACTACTACTATCACTAATACTTCGTTTACGTTTCCCTTTATCTGACCGTTTCATTTCAAATTCAGAATCATTAAATAAATTTAATTCTGTAGGTATAGCTACATTTGGCAATAGTTTATGTCGAAATGCGTATTTACGATACATACATATATGTCCAATTACTCCATCTTCCCCCGACGGTTTAATATTTATTTTACCGTATAAATAATATAATACGTGTTTCTCTAAATGGTCTGACCCAGTTCGAAGATATTTTTTATCATCATTTTCTGTAGGAACCCAATACATTTTATGACGCCTAAACGGATCAAACGGTTTAACTCCCTCGATGCTAGCTACCATAGCTGGAGCTGGAATTTTGTCAATTTCTGCATATTGGCCCAAATAACGAACACCAAAATCACGTATAGCTTCCTCAGCGGTAGTTTGTTTCGTAATATGTCCAACTGTTGAATTTGGATAATAATATAAATAACACTTAACAATACGATACTCTCCATACATAGAACGAGCTTTAGTTAAAGGCTCGCTATTATTATATCCCAATACATCAACGCTAGCGACAAACGCTCCTTTGTCGTTAATATTTAAATTTAACCATGTAACGTCGGTCCAAATATCCTCCCCATATCGACGTTGTTTATTCGACTTAACCTTAACGTACCTATTCTTATAATAAAAATTATTTTTATAAAATTTTTATTATATCGCCGGCGACTATAAGCGATCCTACGATTAAAATATTTTTTACTACGCAAAAAACTATAACGATAAACCATTTTGCAATAATTTCTGGTAAATCACAAGTTGATCTACAAAAAAGTCACATACGAAAAAGTGAATAATCAGCGACTCTTAATATTACTAGAGTCGCTGTGACTTGGTGACTTTTCCTTTCACCACCAAGATCTTCACAAAAATGACGCCATTTGGCGTCATTTTATTAGTAGGTCACATATCTGTCAGTTTTTCTAGTTTTCTGCCATGGTGCCTGTCAGTTTTTTCTGCCATGGTTATTAAAAAATGTATATAAGCAAGTAGTGTACGCTCATTTTTTTAGTATCGTTTGATATACGTTGGTATTAATTGGTATGTATTTTCTTATGCTTTATTAATTGTTTATTAATAATTTTTATATATTTACATATGTTTTCTTATGTTTTAATAGACTATTCGTAATGGCTACTATTGAATTCGACGACGGTAATGAAATTTCATTGCAACATCTGGATAATATCTGTCGTTGGTTAAACGACCATTCAACCGATAATATCGTTCGTAGGGAACTATACGATTATCAACATAATGTTTATCTCGTTAGTATATTTGACCCTTGGGATATACAAGAGGCTTTATTCGAATATAATAATTTCGTGAAGAATGGTTTAGCACAACGCGAACGGTGTTTATTTATCACTTCTGAATTATTTAATTTTGTTTTCCAACAAGAAAACAAAATGAAACTGATCTTTTCGATACTACTAAGCCTGGCAGAACTAATATACTTTAGCATGAAATATATTTGGAAGAAGAAAGATCTATCACCCTTTGGTCCTAAAAGAGAAAATTCAAAAGATATTGAAGAATGGAATAATATCACCATCTGATAGTTCTTGATCAGTACCAGTTGTAATAGTAAGAAAAAAGAATGGAAAATTCTGGTTGTGTATTGATTATAGAAAGTTAAATGAAGTAACAAAGAAAGATTGATACCCTCTCTCACGTATTGATGAGTTGTTAGATTCTTTTAAAAATACCAGATACTTTACTACTATGGATCTTGCTAATAGATTTTGGCAAGTTGAGATGCATCCAAGAGATCAAGAGAAAATAATATTCATTACCAATGAAGGACTCTTTCATTTTAATGTTATACCTTTTGGACTCACCAATACTCTAGCCATATTTTCAAAGACTGATGAATAAAATCTTTAAAGAATATATTGAAAAATTCATAGTTGTATACCTGGATGATGTGACCATCTACTCAGAAACTTGGAAAGAACATGTAGAACATGTACAAAAAGTCTTAAAAAAGCTTTGTCAAGCAAATCTCAAATTCCAACCAGATAAATGTGTCTTTGGAAAGAATCAGTTGTTCTTTTTAGGATATATTATTGGAAAAGATGGAATTCACCCTGATCTAGCAAAAATAGAGAAAGTACAAGAATTTCCAATACCTACCAATATTACTTTATTGAGAGGATTTGTGGGACTTGCTTCTTACTACAGAAGATTTATTAAAGACTTTGCCAAAATAGCAGCATCTCTACATAAATTGTTCAGAAAGAGTAAGAAGTTCAAATGGACAGACAAATAATAAGAAGCTTTTAAAATACTTAAAAGATATTTAACCTTTCTACCAATTATCACGTATTTAGACTTCACAAAGTCATTCACCCTCTTCACAGACACTTCAGGATTAGGATTAGGTGCAGTATTAGCACAGTATGATGATGAAAAGAAAGAACATGTCATAGCATATGCTAGCAGGAGAGTTAGCAAAGAGGAAAGTAAATATAGTGCAACAGAATTAGAATG